ATCCACTACCACCCTCTGGGTGCGACTCTCTAACCAGTTGGCGACCCATTGGACTGTATGGGTGTCTACGCCACAGTCCCCCAGCTTCCTAATGAGAATGGGGTGAGAGAATAATGGTAACAGTAATGAGTCCATATGAATATACTTCTTTGAGATTCAAATCATATATTTCTTTTACAGTCCTGTCCTCTTGAGAGTTTTTGGTGACAACTCACCCATGGATCACATCCCACTGATTTAGGAAACTGTAGGTAACGCACAGGAAAGTTAGGGCCTTCTCCTGACTGTTATTTTAAGTTTGACTTTGACACATTTGATTCCTGTAGTCTTACAGGCATAGCACCAAGATAACCAATGCACAAAAACAACGATAGGAAGACTTTGCTATTTTGTGCTAAGGACCAGAGGGAGCCAGTGAGAGTTACTGAACTGTGAAGTTTAATGCAAATCAAGCAGGCAAATAATTTAAAACAAAAAAAACCAAAGATGCTGCAATTGTGAAATATACTGAGCTAGGGAGTAATGTAATTTAATTAAAAATTGATAAGATTTTAACCACATGATCCAAACACCCTTGGTTTAGAGATTAACAGGATGACCACCTTATTGGGGTCATTTGACCCCAGTGCTCTTCCTGCCATGGCAGGGGGTCGGACTAGATGATCTGCTCAGGTCCCTTCCGACCCTGGAAACTAGGAAACTAGGAAACTGGATGTTGTCCGAGAAGGTCCTTCCACTGCCCCTTGGTCTCCAAATAGCTTCAGCCTCTCCTGACCTTCCTGGCACATTACCATGTTAGGGAATGGCTCCAGAGGAGCCTTGGATAAAAATGTAACATGGATTGATGCTTATTGGAATGAGGAATTTTTAATTGGAACAGCAAGTCATAGGGCTTAGTATGAGCTGCCAGAATTGGGGATTGATAAAGGTCTTATAGCCACATTTGTACTCAGAGCACTTAGGAGCCAGGGCTGATTTTTCCTGAATGCAAAAAGGTAAAATAATGAGATGAAATAAATCTATTTAGTACAATCTACTTCTCAGGTGTATTCAGATAGACAAAGTACAAAACTATTGGGTTGCCTTGATTTTTGCCACCGACACGAGTCATCTGATGTAGGAAATCATCTTACCTCATTGTCCTCATGTATTTCAATGCTGCCTTGGGCAGGAAATCTTTGTTTTCTCAAAGATGCTCGATATAATTCACCTGGAAGGAAGCAGAAACACACTGAACCTTAGCACTTTAACATGTCTGATCTAAGGAGGTCTGCAGAGATGAATCACTTATCTAAGTTTATTTTAGCAATATTTCTGGTGGGAATACTGTGCTCTAGCAGCCTTCATTCATATGAACACCACAGCATTGGCCCAGGTTTTCAAAAGCATTAAGATACCTAAATCTGATCCAGTTCCCATCAGCATCTGAAAAAGGAGGATGGCCCTTTGGGGAAAAGCCATACACTGTGACCCAGGAAATCTAGTTTGAGACCTTGTTCTGCCATAAGCCTCCTGGGTGACCTTGGGTAAATTGCTTTGTTTTTTTGTCCCTCAGTATCCCATAAACCCATGCTGCATCTCTTACATTTTGTTTCTCTTGTCTGTTCAGGCTGTAAGATCCCTGAAGCTGAGGATGGCAAATCAGTATGCGGTACATGCCATAGAAATACAATACAGCCCTCTATTCAGTTAGAGACATACATTATCCTGTATATAAAATATTATGGGAACCCTTCCACCAGCTTCTGATCAGTGCTATCCTGCCAGTGACTTTGATGAGCACAGATTCAGGCCATAGTAACCATGTCACACTTCATGCAATAGCTTCTGACTTGCCGTAAGCTACGGAAATAAAAATAGTGAGGTATACCAAAATCAATTTAAACATTGTCACTGGCATACCTGAGGTCTAGATATATCAATCCTGAAATATCTGTGCTCTCAATTTGCATAAAGACATATACATTACCATTCTTTTAATAAGTGCGTTGTCTGTATTGACCATAATTAGAATGGATTTTTACACTGGTTTGGGCGAGGTTAACATTTCATCTTCATTTTTAACTCGGTAGTAGAAAAAAACCCAGGTTGATCATTTCCAAAACTGCTTGGGTAGCCGAGACCCTTTAGAGTTATTAGCTAGATTTCAACAGCTACATTAGCAGACCCTGTGTTTCAATCACATGAATCAAGTACAGACGACTACGTAAAACTGAGTTATCCGTATGTTATCAACTGAACCTGAATATGAATTAATTCTATGCTCTAAAAGCTAAGTTTCTTCATTAGCGGTCACGGAGGAGATGACAAAAATCTGCAGAGCCATTAGTTTCATCTCACGGATCGGAGAATCTCCCTTTCCACAATCACTGGGCAGAAGAAATAGGAAATATTCTCCAGTCTGGAAAATCCAGGTGCAAAAACAGCCAACTAAGCGACAAAGCCTGGCTGGTTAAGAGAGAGAGGATTTGCACTGCTTAGAACAAATTCCTTTTCATTCAAGTAATCACCAATGCAAGGTACAAAAGGACAAATACCTATACCGTGGGCCTCAATAAATACCTTCATCCTCACCACCCCTAGACAGGCTCTCGCATCCACGGCATACTGCTAGGGTTATACTACTGCACATTACAAACGGCAGACTGTCTGTGGCAATGATTATAAGATCAAAGGAATGGGTGTCTACTTGCTTGCCTCGAGATGCAAGACACTTATGGGCGACTGCAAAAAGACCATGCTCCCTAACAGAACTTCCTCCCCCGGGGAGGAGATCAGTAAGAATAAAGGCACTATACTAGTGTCCGGTTTTACCTTTGTGCCTATTTATAGATGTTTCTTTACAACCATATGATGGTAGAGCTACTGTCGGCTCTCTGGTCTCCACACGCTGCATTCAGTCCCTTTTCTACAGCTGCGTGTGTTGGTTTCCTAGGAAACAGCTGGGGGATGCGATTTGATTAGCTCTGTTGTCAGCTTGACTGTCGTTCACATGTGGGACTGACCTCTCGCCAGCAAATAAGGAGCGCTCTATCTTGCCACCCTGAATGGCTGCCACGAGGCCCCTGGCTTAGAGGTCATGAGTCTTACTTTGTGAAATCATCTGGACCCGCAATCATCTGATTATGCAGGTTTTAACTTAGACATAAGGGTAAAGATGGATATTGCCTAATCTGTTCTTGAAACCAAAAGAAGGGTGAAAAGAGGGAAGGAAAGAAAAAGTCAAGTTCAGCACTGATTTCCAAGTAATCCGTACTGGGAATGAAGCTGCCTCTACCAGCATGGTCTCTGTTGAGTCTATTCGCAGTATTTTATACTGACAATGCAGTATCTTGATGTCTATGCCCCTTCAGGGCACGGACACTTCTCCTTGAAGGATATGGTGTTCAGCATGCCCTAACAAGTCGGGTTATTTTTAAAGACACCTTCTACTGGATTCGTAGAATTTCCCACGAAGAAGTTTCTCAAGTTATTTGAAAACGCGCGTGTTGACGTTCTGTAACAAACGTTTACTGAACAATCATTTAAAAGCCCACAGAAGATGGAAATCCAGTTCTACCAGCATGCCATCTAGAATTTAAAGCATTCGAAATGTGCCTCCTTCCAAAGCTATTCTACGAGCACCTATTTCTCTAATGTGGAAAATAAACAACAAGCAGGCAAAGCACCGGCTACCGTCTGAGACGTTACAGAAGGCGCACACGCACGTTTGCAAATTGTTTCCCGTTCAAATTGAAAATGAGGAATTTGCTGTCGGACAGCGGATGGCCCTGTCTATGTGGATGACTCAGCTTGTGTTGGGCGGTTAACAACTTTCTAGATGAGTTTATATTTGTGTGGTCAGTTAATGGCCTTAAGTGACTGTGTAAAAATCATCCTGGCCCAAGTGAAAGGCCGCTGTGACAACCTTTCGCAAAAACACATTTCTGAAGCCAAGTATCGCTGAAAAAGGAGCCAGCAAGGCAGAATGAAGGCGACTACTTTCAAAATTTCTGAAATCAACTGTTTTACTCCCACTGATGTGGGAGTCGAACATGTCTCCTCACAGGACTTGTGAGAAGAGGCTGAGGGAACTGGGCTTATTTAGTCTGGAAAAGAGAAGACTGAGAGGGGATTTAATAGCAGCCTGCAGGGGCGTTACAAAGAGGATGGAGCTGGCCTGCTCTCGGTGGTGGCAGATGAGAGAACAAGGAGCAACGGGCTCAAGTTGCAGCAAGGGAGGTCTAAGTGAGATACCAGAAAAAACTCTCACTGAGAGGATGGCGAAGCACTGGAATGGCTGACCTAGAGAGGTGCTGGACTCTCCATCCTTGGGGGTTTTTAAGACCCGGCTAGACAAAGCCTTGGCTGGGATGATCTAGTTGGGGCTGGTCCTGCTTTGAGCAGGAGTTGGACTAGAGGTGACCTCCTGAGGTCCCTCCCTGCCCTAATTGTCTGTGATTCTATATATTGTAATCTTCTAGTTGGGATTGTTCCTTCAATCAAAATGTTAATGTTTTTACAAATAACCTTTTAATGAAGGGTTCATTTTTTCTGAAAGTCCTGATAGGTCTGAAAGAAGGGAGTAAGAAGAAAATGTCACCAGTGAGGCAACTCCATCTGTACAAAAAGATGTGTCCATGGGCGGATCTAGGTTTTTGAAAAGCACGGAGCAGATGGTGAGGTGCCTCATCACATATAGAACAACACATTTTTCTCCCGTTCAAAAGGAACTATAAGCTTTACTAATACCCTAGGGACTGTATGATTCAGTTTAAGATTGAAGCACAAATAACTTCATTGGAATGAGTTACAAACGGTCTGCAGGGCTGTGAAAGAGGACTTCCAGGAGCAGCTAACAGACAGCATAATTACAGGATAGCTTGATTGGTAGAACATCAAGTCCATTAACAAGAAAAGGGTCATTAACGGCGGTGGGGAAAAAAAAAAAGAGTTTAGAAGGAATCGGGTAGATTATAATGAGCCATGAAGTCAACTAACTCCCTGGGTCAACTAACTCCAACTAACTCCCTAAGCCAACTAACTGCCCGACTAGAAGTGCTGCTGCCACTGTCAGGCCATTGGTTTTAAACTTTGGATGGGGCAGGAGTCAAAGGAGGGTGCACAAATGCAGTAGTGGCACCACCCCCTCAATCCACCTCCTGATGCATCTTTGGCTAACAATTCATTTGATGCAAATACAAACTAATTTAAAGAACAAGAAGGAATCCGCAAAAACAATAAGTGCTGATGGTCGCAAAGGGCCTGCCAAAGTAGCCAGTAATCAGTGACAGAGTTCGCTTTTGCTTGTGAGTACTTCATTAGGATCTCACATTTGGCAGGCAGGCAGTCTGGCCCAAGGTCTGTCAAATCCAAGGCTTAAGAACAATTCTCTTTTGCGATTGTGCCGGAGATAACTGCAGGCTGGTTGTGCCGAGGGACTGGCTACCGAGAACAGAAAACAGAAGGGAGCAGTATTTAGAGCAGCACCTGGCAGTAGCGCCTGGCTGCTCCAGGACCCCCTCCAGACCTCCGATTGTTTCCCATCTTTGGCTCCTGATTCTTGGCCAGTATTTGGCATCTGTCCTCAGCCGTGGACTCTTGGCCAGCATCCCAGCTCCAAATTGTCTCAGTCTGGGATTTCATATCCAGTTCTTTGCTTGCATACTTGTTACAGACCTTGGCCCTAACCACTGGATTAAAACAACCATCCTTCATTCCTTGCTGTCAAGACCAGTGCAAACAAACTGGAAGGACTTCCCTCCAAATAGAAACAGAAGAAAGACTTCCAACATTGCTTCTTTTTTTCTTTTCTTTATACCTGCTTTCAAATTGAGAATGTGTAAATTAAGAGTGATTTTTCTCTTTCACTGTCTAGTTCTGTTTATTGCTTCTACTGATAGTTGTTTAACTCTTGAGCATTCGCTTTCACCAGGAACAGTGTTTGAGCCTAGAAAAACATACCAATTATCTCAGCAAAACATGACAAAATTGGAGCATTATATCCACAGCTATTGTAGGAATTAGAAATTCAACTGAAGCAAAACTGCACAATTAATGATGAGAGCCAGTACCAAATTAAATACCCTGGTGGAACATGATCAAGATGTTTTGGAAAGACTGATTTGATAGGCTACAAGACATAGAAAACATTCCCTTACAAGGTTCAGGCAGGCTCTACTCACACCAGAATAAGAAATGTTTTTAATTAGTTGAGTTCCTTGGAAAATA